GTATGTACCATTCTTTCTGTCTGGGCATTTGTCTGTATATAAAGAATATAAGCACACACACACCGTACCTATATATATATATATATATATATATAATATATATATATATATATATATATATTATATATATATATATATATATATATATATATATATGTAGGTAGTAGGTTGGTAGACAGCAACCACCCAGGGAAGTACTACCGTCCTGCCAGGTGACTGTGAAACAGAAACCTGAAACTGCTTTACATGATGGCAGGATTGCTGGTGTCTTTTTCTGTCTCATAAACAGGCTGGACAACAGGTATATCTTGCTACTTCTACTTACACTTTGGTCACACCACACATGCATATATATACAAACAAACATCTAGGTTTTTCTTCTTTTTTCTAAATAGCTCTTGTTCTTCTTTATTTCCTGTATTGTCCATGGGGAAGTGGAAAAGAATCTTTCCTCCGTAAGCCATGCGTGTCGTATGAGGCGACTGAAATGCCGTGAGCGATGGGCTAGTAAGCCCTTCTCCTGTAGACATTTACTAAAAAAGAGAAGAAGAAAAACTTTATAAAACTGGGATGCTTAAATGTGCGTGGATGTAGTGCGGATGACAAGAAACAGATGATTGCTGATGTTGTGAATGAAAAGAAGTTGGATGTCCTGGCCCTAAGGGAAATAAAGGTGAAAGGGGCTAGGGATGTTTGGTGGGGAGAAATAAATGGGGTTAAGTCAGGAGTAGCTGAAAGAGTTAGAGCTAAGGAAAGGGTAGCGATAATGTTGACGGATCAGTTATGGAAGGAGAAGAGGGAATATAAATGTGTAAATTCAAGGATTATATGCATTAAAATAAGGGTTGGATGCGAAAAGTGGATCAAAATATGCGTGTATGCACCTGTAGAAGAGAGGAGTGTAGAGAGAGAGAGATTTTGGGAGATGTTAAGCGAATACATAGGAACCTTTGAACCAAGTGAGAGAGTAATTGTGGTAGGGGACCTAAATGCTAAAGTAGGAGAAACATTTAGAGAGGGTGTGGTAGGTAAGTTTGGAGTGCCAGGTGTAAATGATAATGGGAGCCCTTTGAACTTTGTATGGAAAGGAGTTTAATTATATGTAATACATATTTTCAGAAAAAGAGGCTAAATAAGTATACAAGATATGATGTATGACATAACGACAGTAATTTGTTGGACTATGTACTGGTAGATAAAAGACTGTTGAGTAGACATGTTTATAGAGGGGCCACAGATGTATCAGATCACATTTTAGTTGTAGCTACACTGAGAGTAAAAGGTAGATGGGATACAAAGAAAATAGAAGCATCAAGTAAGAGAGAGGTGAAGGTTTATAAACTAAAAGAGACAGTTAGGATAAAATAAAAACAACTATTGGAGGATAGATGGGCTAGTGAGAGTATAGGCAATGGGGTCGAAGAAGTATGAGGTATGTTTAAAAATGTAGAGTTAGAGTGTTCAGCAGAAGTTTGTGGTTATAGGAAAGTGGGTGCAGGAGGGAAGAAGAGAAATTGGTGGAATGATGATGTAAAGAGAGTAGTAGGGGAGAAAAAGTTATCATATGACAGGATTTTACAAAGTAGAAATGATGAAAGGAGGGAAGAGTATATGAAGAGAAAAAGACAGGTTACGAGAGTGGCGAAGCAATGTAAAAAGAGAGCAAATGAGAGAGTGGGTAAAATATTATAAACAAATTTTTGTTGAAAATAAGAAAAAGTTTTGAGTGAGATCAACAAGTTGAGGAAGCATAGAGAACAAATGGATTTGTAAGTTAAAAATAGGAGAGGAGACTTCTTAAATGAAGAGTTAGAGGTATGGGGAAGATGGAAGGAATATTTTGAGGAATTGCTAAATGTTCATGAAGATAGGGAAGCTGTGATTTCGTGTATAGGGCAAGGAGGAATAACATCTTGTAGGAGTGAGGAAGAGCCAGTTGTGAGTGTGGGGGAAGTTCGTGAGGCAGTGGGTAGAATGAAAGGGGGTAAGGCAGCCGGGATTGATGGGATAAAAATAGAAATGTTAAAAGCAGGTCGGGATATAGTTTTGAGTGGTTGGTGCAATTATCTAATAAATATATGGAAGAGGGTAAAGTACCTAGGGATTGGCAGAAAGCATGTATAGTTCCTTTGTGTAAAGGAAAAGGGGACAAAAGAGATTGCAAAAATTATAGAGGGATAAGTCTGTTGAGTATACCTGGTAAAGTGTATGGTAGAATTATTTATTGAAAGAATAAAAAGTAAGACGGAGAGTTGGATAACAGATGAACAATGAGGCTTTAGGAAAAGTAGGGGGTGTGTAGACCAAGTGTTTATAGTGAAACATATACGTGAACAGTATTTAGATAAGGCTAAAGAGATTTTTGTGGCATTTATAAATTTGGAAAAGCATATTACAGCGTGGATAGGGGAGCAATGGGACAGATGTTGCAGGTGTATGGTATAGGAGGTAGGTTACTGAAAGCAGTGAAGAATTTTTACGAGGATAGTAAGGCCCTGGTTAGAGTATGTAGGAAAGAGGAAGATTATTTCCCAGTAAAAGTGGGCCTTAGACAAGGATGTGAGATATCACTCTGTTTGTTCAATATATTTATAGAAGTGAATGCGTGGGTGTTGGCAAGAGGAGTGGAGTTAAAAGATTAAGAATCACACATAAAGTGGGAGTTGTCACAGATGTTTTTTGGTGATGACACTGTGCTCTTGGAAGATTCTGGAGAGAAGTTGCAGAAGTTGGTGGATGAATTTGGGAGGGTTTGTAAAAGAAGAAAATTAAAAGTGAATACAGGAAAGAGTAAGATTATGAGGATAACAAAAATAACCAAAAGATTAGGTGACGAAAGACAGGATATCAGATTGGAGGGAGAGAGTATGGAGGAGGTGAATGCGTTCAGATATTTGGGAGTGGACGTGTCAGCGGATTGGTCTATGAAAGATGAGGTGAATCATAGAATTGATGAGGGGAAAAGGGTGAGTGGTGCACTTAGGAGTCTGTGGAGACAAAGAACTTTGTCCTTGGAGGCAAAGAGGGGAATGTATGAGAGTATAGTTTTACCAACGCTCTTATATGGGTGTGAAGCATGGGTGATGAATGTTGCAGCGAGGAGACGGCTGGAGGCAGTGGAGATGTCATGTCTGAGGGCAATGTGTGATGTGAATATAATGCAGAGAATTCGTAGTTTGGAAGTTAATAGGAGGATTGTATGGTCCAGTGGATTAAGGCTTCATGAGTTTTCGCCCACCATGAGGCAGACCAAAGCAGCATGGGTTCAAGTCCTTGGATAGTCGCAGTGTTGTGGTGTATCAATACCACTCGTTCGTGGGCACAATAATATATATATATATATATATATATATATATATATATATATATATTATATATATATATATGTATATATATAGTTATATATTGTATTCATATATATATATATATATATATATATATATATATATAATATATATATATATATATATATATATATATATATATATATATAATATATCAATAACAACACTGCATTCGCCAAGGATTCAAACCCATGTTCTACTGGCCCGCCATTGTTAGCGAGAACCACATGATGCTTTAATTTTGCATCATTCAGGTATACACAAATACAGTTACATAGATTATCATACATAGCAGCATATGTGTAGAGAACCTAGGATAACCGAAAAAAGTCAGACAGAGTGACTTATTTCCTTTAAAAAGTAGCCCAAACAGGTGACATCAAACAAGAACCAAGCACCCAGCCAAGCTAGGTGTTTTACTCTTGGTCCCAGGACATACAGAACTGTTGGAGCTTTCAAGCTTATTTTTCATTCTCATCCCTGTTTGGTGCACTAGCCTTGGAACAACTTATATATATTATTGTAACTACAAAGAAGTAGTGTTGATCACTAATAACACTGTGCTAGCCAAGAATTCAAACCTTAACTCACAGGACCACCCAATCCTACAAGAACCAAGCACCCAGCCAAGCTAGGTGCTTGGTTCTTATAGTTTGACTACTGTTTTGTCTTCTGGTAGGTCCCTGATGTAGGTCCTCGTCGCATGAGCTGCAGCTTCACTACAGTGAGAGACCCCAAAGCCCAGTGGTGTGGCTGGAGTAAACTGGCAGCTTCTAGGCGAATGTTTCTTACTGCTGCTTTGGCAACGAGACGGCGAAGAGTGTTTCCAACAGCAATGGGTCTGATTCCCCCATCCTTCTTCTTCAAAGCGCATAATGAGGCTCCAAAAAAAGAAAGGTTTAATTTCTTCTGGGATTTGGCCAGTCAGGCAGTTGTTGACGAAGATTGTTAACTCGGTGAGAAGAATTGATGCAGATGCCCTGAGTGCTGGATTTACCATCACTTTGGGGTGTTGTCGAATTCCAGTGTAACCTCCTGCAGATCCTGCTGTAAATAACACTATCGCCTTATAGACTTCTGATTCTGGCAAAATTAATTGTTCAGAGATGGGGTCTTCCTCGGGGTTGTTGTTGACGACTATGGTGTCACTTGTTGGATGCTTGTGTCTTAGTGATTGGGCTGTGGTTTCATCTTTGGGAGCTATAGTGTCGTCACTGATAACTGTCGTCACTGATAACTGTGTTACCTTCTTCGATTTTTTTGCTAACCTTTGCACAAATTTTCTCGCTGTCAGTGGATTTTTTCTTGGGTCTACCTCTGTGATTCCTGCGATGATGGGGCAGAGAGACACAATTATCCGTTCTTGGGTAGCTGCGCACTGCCTTGATGACTGATATGGTTAGCAGTTTGCCTCGTCTTTCAGGAACTGAAAAACAGACATTGCCGAACAGGAATAGGTTGCGCCATACTTTAATGGTGCCTCAGGCTTCCTAGTTGAAGGAACCTCCATTCACCTGCTTAAAAGAATGTCTGTGAATTTCCCTGCTGCATAAGGGAGAGCCGTTTTAGGGATGTGGGATAGGGTACTGCTAGCAGTGGATTTGAATGCCAGCAGGTTTCCACAGTTGAGGAGGTTGCCATTGGAATTGTCATCTG